AAACTAAAGATAATATCGAGGCTTCAGTTGTGTTTCAGCTCCAGGCCCAGAAAAGCAGCAACCCCAGACTAAAGGATGCCATGGCTGACACCAGCACAAGCACTGATCGACTATCTTAGCACCGACCAATTGGTAGAGACCATGACCCTGACCATGACCCTGACCACACCCTAACTCCCTGAGTCACCATGATTCCTGATTTTCCCCTATAGAACCCATTCCCTGAGTCACCCTAACTCCCTGAGTCACCACGATTCATGATTTTCCCTATAGAACCCATTCCCTGAGTCACCCTAACTCCCTGAGTCACCATGATTTATGATTTCCCCTATAGAATCCATTCCCTGAGTCACCCTAACTCCCTGAGTCACCATGATTAATGATTTTCCCTATAGAACCCATTCCCTGGAAGCCATCCGGGAGCCAGGCCTTTGGGCATTAGCTCACCTGTCTCTGGGCGGAGGCCAATTCCTAAAAATAAACCCTTCCTTTCTTTGCTGCAAGAATCTGTTCATGCATTATTAGGCTCTAATGCAGTGGTTCTCAACCTTCCTAATGCCGCGACCCTTTCATACAGTTCCGCATGTTGTTGTGGCCCCCAATTTTCTTGTTACACATTGAACATCATGAAAGCCTAGTGATTCATCACAAAAACAATATGTAATTATCTATGTGTTTTCCGATGGTCTTAGGCGACCCCTGTCAAAGGGTCATTCGACCCCCAAAGGTGTCTCGACCCACAGGTTGAGAACCGCTGCTCTAATGCATGCAGGTAAATGGACCCTTTTAGTCTGGTAGCAACACCTGCTTTGACAGGGCAGACATCTTATCAATGAAATATCATAAAAGCAGCGATCTTTTTTTAGTGCCTAGTATATGTCAATTCTTGTCCCAAGTGCCTTAACCTGTCATTTCTAATTCTCAAAATGATCCTATAAAGTAGGTAGCTCCATCTTTCCCTTTTGGCAATAGGAAAATGAAGGCGTAGGAAAGTTAAGCATGGCGCCAAGATCACGGCAAATATACGGCTGAACCGGGATTTGAATTCTAGTAGCTCACCCCAACTCATGGTCTTCCCACCATCTTTCCCAAGATGTGGTCTCCCAGGGTGTGATTAGCAAAGTAGCAGAATGCCCTGGAGGCATGCATTAGAAAGTACAGATTCCTGGACCCCAGCCCAGTGCTACGCAATCGGATTCTCTGGAATTTGGCCCAGGAATCTGAATATACGACACATTTCCTTGTGCCTCCGCTGCCTGCTTAAGTTTGAGAATAGTGACTACAACCCGCTGCCTTGGTGGCCACTGTTCGACAAAGTGCCCATGATGGCTGTTCTCAGAATCAGCCCTAGGGTTTTCTTTTTCTTTTTTTAAAAAAAATATATTCCCTACTGGGTATGTGCCTGCAACCAAGGTACATGCCCTTGACCGGAATCGAACCTGGGACCCTTCAGTCCACAGGCCGACGCTCTATCCACTGAGCCAAAGCGGGTAGGGCTCAGCTCTAGGGTTTTCAACACGGTGCCTGGAAAGCACACAATTAGTGCAAAAGACTGTCCTAGTCGGACTCTTAAATCTAGGCAGCTCTTCTATCTTATGGGACAAAGCCAGGTTCCTTTTTGCCCTTTCCAATGACCTCAGATACTGGCTACTTGGAAGGGACATCAGGAAATGAGGGACATTATTAACACTCAGAACAAACTCTGGCTCCCGGCCAGGCCTCTGTGGGTTTTTATATCCCTTCCATCAGTTCTGCGGAATTGCTGCCTCCAGGGCACATTCTGCCTTCCAGGACAAACGCACAAGCACCTTTTCTAATAACTCTTCCTTTCGAATGCATGGCAAGCGATGCCTCTTTCTGAGCTCACAAACCCTTCCCGGGACTGTGATACTGCACAACTGTGAACCGCCTTTAACTCTCAGGTCCCGGCTGGCTTTACTCTTCCTTGTTTGGAACTACAGTACTAATTCTGAAAGTCTCTTCAAAACAAACCAAAATGAAACAGCTATAGACATCATGGAATTTTTGTCCACCCACATAGACCAGCTTTGCCAACTAGCCACCAGCTCTGGTATAACCAACAGGAATCTGAAATGCCAAATATGCCAAGAGAATCTACGAAGTGAGGAGCTTAATTTTTTTCTGTGCTTAATGGAAATAAAAGAGATGACGTTAGTGCTAGGGCACAGACTCATGAAGGTTTTAGAACTAGAAGAGAGCTTGGTTAGTCATTTATTCTAACCCAATCCTGTGATCACGAAAGAAATAGAACTCGGAGAGCGTGAGGTCGCATAGTTAACGCATAGCGAAGACAGGACTATAGCAAACTGTTCTGGTTCCAGACTCAGTTTTCTTTTACTGACTCAGGCTTGATATCTTTTACCCATCACCCCTGTCACTTAGAAAGTACAGATTTGTATTGATTTGTATTGCACCCACTGTCTCTTTTACATTAATGGAGAACTTATTTTGAGAAAGCTATCCTTAATTCCTTCATGCCCAACCTTTTTATACATAAACTTTATTATTCGTAAACTTCAGTCATATGGAAATCATATGTCCCCAAACTACCATTGAGTCATTTCTTAATTCAACCAATATTTCTTTTTTCTACCTAATGCCAGGCACGGATGTAATGCAGTCAAGAAAGTAGATGGAAGAGGATGAGGAGGCATCCTGCCATGAAGTTTTCATTCTAATGGGTAAATACTCAACCAACATGAGAAATTAGTAAAATCCTATATTAGTAGTGGTGAGTGCTAAGGAGGAAAGGCAGGGAAAGGGAATAGGAAGTGAGGATGTGTGTACAAGGTGGGGAGAGGGGCTGTATTTAGACAGGGTGGTCAGAAAAGGCTTCAGTGAGGAGTAAAGACCACACCTGGGGAACCAAAATATGAGATATCACCCAGGAGGGTCTTGACATCAGTTCTACAGAGAGCGGCAAAGATCAAATTTGGAAAATGTTGGGAAATGCTGTTTTTCTGCTGTTTTAGTAGCCCGGGTGGCAGGAAATGGGAAAGAGGGGAATGGCACAATTAAAATGTGGCAGCCATACTTCCCAGGAAGCCAGGAAGAGTTGTTTTAGTACCTGAGGTGAAAAGAGATGCCTGGTGATGAGTGGTTTCATAAGAAGAACTTTTCTTAGAATACAGAATTTAGAGAACAGAATTAAGATTGATGAGAGGTATTATTTTGTTAAAAAAAAAACACCCAGAGAGCATGAAGTAATGCCACGACTGCTTGGCAAAAAGATATGTGACTTAAAAACTTGATGAAAAGGTTGATAAGTTCAGTCATTTGACTCATCCAAATATGTAATTAATTATGAGGATTTGGGCTGAAGTGTGGAATTTATATAGAGTCAATGATAAATGCCACATTTTTTTTGAGAGTTTACTGTGTGTAACATCGGAACAGAGCTTCAGAGACTCAACGAGAAGCGAGGCACTGTTCTACCTCAGAGGTCTTTTCACTGCGCAAAATCCATTTTCTGTGCCTCCTGGACATCCAACAGGAATACATTTCCCAGCCTCTTTTGCAATTAACTATGGCTTATGGGTGAGTTATGCCCAATGGGATTTGAATGGGCATGATGAATGTCCCTCCTAGTTTGGGCCCATAAGTCCTAGAGGATTGCAGTGTCTCAAGATGCATGGAGCTGGGGTTCCTAAGTCACGACGCTGTCAACCAAACATTTGATTAAACTTTATGTCAACAAGATATTTATGTCTGTTGTGTCCTGAGAGTTGAGCCAGCTCATGTAGCCCAACTCATATCACTATTAGTTACCAGGTTCATAGAATTTTATAGTTTGCAGAATACTCTCCCATAGCAACTGATGGTGAGAATTACCCAGAGAAATAGGTCATATTTTGATTTTTCCCATTTCATAAAACTAAAATTGATGCTTCTTGAGTATTGAATTACTTAGTCACGATCACATAGGTAAGACAGGGAGGGCAGAGATTTTAAACCACTGGCTCTCAAACTTACAAAAAATCATTGATATAAGACAAAGCATGAAAATAAATCTAAGGCAAGGCATTGGACAAATATAGATAAAATACTGAGGAGATTCAAAAGAGGAGACTAGAACACTTGGTTAAAGAGACACAATGGGCTCTGGTGGTACAGGTAAGATTCATGGTGAGTGGTTGCACACTGACAAGAAAAATGGGAGAAGAAACAGAGAGAAAATTTCTGTAACTTCTGACAGGCAATATGAGTGGTAAACAGAAATAGAAAAGAGTTGGCATTTGTTCTTATGTTTCAAGGGAAGCTGGAGCAAGCAATGCAGTTTTTTGAAGGAAAACAGGAACTGGTAATTCAATACAAATCAAAAAAGTATTTATTGAGTGCCTGCCAGATGAAGGGCCTTCCAAAAGTGTACAGAGGATACAGAGAAGAGATAACAAGGGCACAACCCATGCTCTAAATGTGTTTATAATCTATTAGGGGAAATAGTAAAAAATGACTGTAGCACAATGCTAAGATAAGCATCAATAAGAAGACTGATGGAGTTCAAAGGACAGAGAAATAACATGGGTAGGAGGCATGAGAAGGACACAGAAAACATAGCTGAAGCTTCATGGAAGAGTTAAAATGTTCATATTGATCTTTGAGGAGAGGCCATCTCTGAAGATGATATGAATATATAAATTCCTGAGGGCCACATACAATTCCAAAGAGAATGGTTTTGTCAATATTTCGAGCAAAGATACTGCTATCAGCATAATGAAGTGACTCCAAACATGACCGTTGTTCAGGGCACAACAAAATAAAATTTCTAATTTGAATATGTTTGCTTTAACCTGGAATCACAAACTTCCAGTGATATCATAGGTTGTAAATTTCTTTTCCTATTGACACTGCATGCCTTCCAATGAACTCAGTGACCAGCACTGTAGACCGGAAGGGGGTGTGTGTGAGTGACATGGTGCCACCAAGAGGCGATGAACAGACAGCCTACTAAGATGCTGTGCCAAAGAAGGGCCACCTACCATGAACAGGGTTTCATAATTTTCAATCATTTTCTGCACCACAGCGATGATAGCTGTGCTTTCCTCAGCCCGGGCCGAACTCTGGACGGAGAATTCTTTGTCTGATGACTTCTGCTTGTGCAGAAGGTTGGGTCCAAATATGGTGGCCAAGTTTAGAGACGTCATTTTGTTCCCCGTGACCTACAGGAACAGAGAATACAAGAACCGTTGTTATTTTTGCTTTTCAAAGGGCTGAGTGTTTCAATAACCCATGGAACCTTTCCTTTCCTTTTCTGTTTTCCTGCAAGGACTACATCACCTCTGGCAGAACTGATGAGGGGTTCCATCATTTTCCTTTTGCTTCATATCTTGGATTGAAGCTCACGGCACAGTGGCCATTTCAACAGCATACTGAGTAAAATTTTGTAATTCTAAGTGATTTGCTATGAAACTGGTACTATATAAAACTTCTATCCTGTCTTCCCTTTAAAAATATTGGTATCCAACGTGGGGATAAGGACACATATGTAATATCTTAATCAATAAAAAATATATTAAAATAAAAAAAACTAAAAAAAAATATTGGTATCCATCTATCCATTTATCTATCCATCCAACCATCCACCCTCCGTCTATCCCTTCATCCATCAATCCATCATCTCTCCATGACTCCATCCACTCAGCATCTACCACAGGTTGGGCATTTTTCATGGATTCTAGTTACTGACAAAAATTTCCCACAGGGATCACAGCATAGTCCTTATTTTAAAAGTTCACATTCTGCCCTGGCAGGTTTGGCTCAATGGATGGAGCATCGGCTTTCAGACTCAAGGGTCCCGGGTTCGAGTCCAGTCAAGGACATGTGCCTTGGTTGTGGGCACATCTCCAGTGGGGCGTGTTCAAGAGGCAGCCGACCAGTGATTCTCTCTCATCATTGATGTTTCTATCTCTCTCCCTCTCCCTTTCTCTCTGAAATCAATAAAAATATATTAAAAAAGTTCCCATTCTGGAGGGAAAAGACACCAATTACAAGCAGTGAGTACAAAGTATGAAGTTATCAACTCTGGAGGCCGCAGGGACACGCCCAAGAGATGGGACAGAAGGCAATTAATTTCCCAGGGGTGACAATGCCATATGCAAAGACAGAAACATGTAAAGTATCACAAGGGGAGGGGGTCAGGGTAGTGATGAAGAGCATGGAGCTCCCTGTGGCCAAGCCCCATGTCCTTTGTGGGGCACAGCTGGCCTCGGCTGACAACCAGTGAACTAGGCCCGTGGTTGGCAAACTCATTAGTCACCAGAGCCAAATATCAACAGTACAACGATTGAAATTTCTTTGGAGGGCCACATTTTTAAACTGAAACTATATAGGTAGGTACAGTGTTATTAACTTAATTAGGGGACTCCTAAGGCTTAGGAAGAGCCACACTCAAGGGGCCAAAGAGCCGCATGTGGCTCGCAGGCTGCAGTTTGCCGACCACGGGTCTAGGCAATTTTTTGGTGTTTTTTTTTTTTGTTTTTGAATCCTCACCTAAGGATATTTTTTCATTGATCTATCCACTGAGCCAAAGTGGCTAGGGCTAGGCAACTTTTTATTTCTCTTGTTGATATTGAAAATCCAGCAATTCCTCCATAAATATGGGGACTGTGGCTGCTTGGCCTGGGGGTTGGGGGGCGGGTGGGATCTGCACAGTGTTTGAGTGGCAGCTGGGTCACAGCGCAGAATTCGAGTTCTGCTTCACAGCCAAGACAAAGCTTCCTGAGTCCCACTCATGTCCTGTGGAGCCTTGAAGTGGTGGCTACCAGCCCTGCAATCCCAGGGTGGAACATGGGGACATTATTTTTAGAAACTGAGGCTGTTTTCAGGTTGGCCGCCAAGGAAAATGATTTTACGCGGTAAACACTGGGGATTTTGAAGAAAGTGCCCTTTATGTATGACTGCTGAGTTATTTTTTTCCTTTCTTTTATTTCATTGATATCAAACTTGACAAGTGTTCATTTTATTTTTCATGTCGTTTCCTACAGGTTCACGGCTAAGGATAAAATCAAATATGTGCCGCCCTGGCTGGTTTGGCTCAGTGGATAGAGCATCGGCCTGCGGACTGAAGGGTCCTGGGTTCGATTCCGGTCAAGGGCATGTACCTTGGTTGCGGGCACATCCCCAGTGGGGGGTGTGCAGGAGGCAGCTGATTGATGTTTCTCTCTCATCGATGTTTCTAACTCTCTATCCCTCTCCCTTCCTCTGTGTAAAAAATCAATAAAATATATTTAAAAAAAATCAAATACGTGCCCTTTTCCAGCCCATCTCTCTAGAACTCCGAAGCATTTGGAGTGTGTTCCTTTCCCCTATCAACATAATATCAGAGCTTTCTCATTTTTGTTTTAATATTAACAAATAAAAGATTTTCATTTTTTTTCCCTTTTTTGGCTTAAACCACATAAATTTCTTTCTCACAGATCTGGAGGCTGGGAAGTCCAAGGTCAGGTGCCAGCCCATCGGCTGTCTGGTGAGATCCCTGGTCCCCGTACACAATGGCTGTCTCCCGGTTGTCTCTCAGATTTTGTTTTCTTTGAAAAGAATGTTTAATACAAGGACAATCCAGAACTCTGCTTCCGCTGTCTCCTTCTCCTGTTGCTATTCTGGGAAAGCAACACAATCTGTCCGTAGAACGGCACACGGATTCCAGCTGCAGACCACGCTGCTGCGGTTTGTTAACGCTGTTTTGTTTTTGTTTGACCGGGTTTCTAATTGGAGACTTGTTCATGGCAGCCTCCACCCTCGCTCCCCTGTCTCAGCATGTATCTGGCTATGTCTAGGTCATCGAATGTGCACTGGGGTTTGGTTCATGATTTCATTATTAGCCAGGCAATTCAAGGCAAACTTTTATCTCTGCTAGATAAGCATCCTAGATCATTTCTTTTTTTATAAATATATTTTTATTGATTTCAGAGAGGAAGGGAGAGGGAGAGAGAGATAGAAACATCAATGATGAGAGAGAATCATGGATCGGCTGCCTCCTGCACGCCCCACACTGGGGATCAAGCCTGCAACCTGGGCATGTGCCCTGACTGGGAATCTAACCGTGATCTCCTGGTTCATAAGGTCTATGCTCAACCACTGAGCCACACCAGTTGGGTCCTCCTAGACCAGCGGTTCTCAACCTGTGGGTCGCGACCCCTTTGGGGGTCGAACGGCCCTTTCACAGGGGTCACTTAAGACCACCGGAAAACACATATATAATGACATACTGTTTTGTGAGTAATCACTATGCTTTAATTATGTTCAATTTGTAACCATGAAATTGGGCGTCACCACAACATGAGGAACTGTATGAAAGGGTCGCGGCATTAGGAAGGTTGAAAACCACTGTTCTAGATAATTTCTAATCCTGATATGAACAGCTCACCTTTAGTAAAAGTTTAGCATGTCCGGTCACTGGGAAAGGGATTTTCCAGAGGCTTTTTCAATTCTTCTCTCTAGAACAGTGGTTCTCAACCTTCCTAATGCTGCGACCCTTTCATACAGTTCCTCATGTTGTGGTGACCCCCAATTTCATGGTTACAAATTGAACATAATTAAAGCATAGTGATTAATCACAAAAACAATATGTAATTCTATATGTGTTTTCCGATGGTCTTACGCGACCCCTGTGAAAGGGTCATTTGACCGCCAAAGGGGTCGCGACCCACAGGTTGAGAATCGCTGCTCTAGAAGCTGGTGGGGCAGCTGCTGCTTGTGGCTGTCTTTCCAGAAGGGATGTGACTCCTCAAGCCGCGGCCTGGACGTGGTGGGGCTGAGAAGCGAGGCTGCTGGCTTGGCCCCAGGGAGCCCCATGCTCTTCATCACGACCCCTCCCCCCTCCCCCCTGCTCACACTAGAGTGGCAGACCCCGCGTAGCTGGAGGAGATGAAATCCTGGCTTCAAAGGAGGGCGGGGACCAGGGCCAGGGGAGCGAGGCACTGATCCGGCTGCAGCTCCAAAGCCAACCTCCCATTTCCTGGAGGCATGGGCCTCCTCAGAGGTCAGCAGTCCTGGCTCTCCTTTGGTGGCTAGGAACTTCTTTCTGCCTCATTAGGCTCTTTGAAAACTAAAGGCCAGCCTCCAACTCTCTCACCAAAAGCGCCCCACATTTCTCATCAATGCCTGAGGGTTCCTGGCCAACCTGAGAAACCACTGCTCCAGAGGTTTCAGTGACGTTCTGGCAATATTCTTTCCAGAAGAAGTGAAATCTTTCATACTTTGGGAATTTTTTTTCCCCCTAAGGAGCAAAGCAAATAGCAAACTAGACAAAATGGAATAAAACAAACAAACACGAGAGAGAAAAACAACGCAATTCGATCAAATACCACTAGTTTTCCCAAGAAAAGCGCTGGCTGACTCGTGAACATTTTCCCTCATGTCCTTCTTTTAAACATCTTTGACATCTTATTGGTTAATGATGCATTGAATTTGAAGCGCCCATTAGAAAGAAAAGATGATGTGGATTTTATAAAGGAGGAAGCTCAAACCTTCCCCCTCAACCACAACCCCAACTCTGTTTTCCTTCCTCTTCCTTTGTTTTATAAAATACAAGGTCATGTAGCAAGGTGCTGGCAGAGCCTGTGTGAGCCTCCAAGCTTTTTGAGTCTCTGGTTTAATTTTCTTCTATGTTCCAATCCATAGCAACTACCCAACAAACAGATAACACGTCTAACACAGACAACAAACAGGTAAGACAAAAAGCTGACCACTGCTTTGCTTCTTTTTAAAATATATATATTTTATGGATTTCCGAGAGGAAGGGAGAGGGAATGAGAGAGAGAGAGAAGCATCAATGATGAGAGAGAAGTATTGATCAGCTGCCTCCTGTACACCCCCTACTGGGGATCAAGCCCACCACCCCAGCATGTGCCCTGACCGGGAATTAAACCCAGGACCCTTCAGTCTGCAGGCTGACACTATCCACTGAGCCAAACCGGCCAGGGCAAAACCACTTTGTTTCTTGACCATATTTCCCAATTTAATTTCCGCCTCACTGCAGTCTGTTCATTCTGTATTCTCTCCCAGCTCATGCTGAAACAACTGAAAAAATAATAAACAAAGGACCTCTCTTGTTCGTCTCCCTCTACTCTTAACTTCTACCAGAAGGGGTTTAGCTAACTCCCATTTCTATGCAGTGCTTATGTGGTCTGTTTATTCAATTCCTACACACCCTTTGCTCAATTCCTACACACCCTTTTTCTTTAATCCTCACCCGAGGATATTTTTCATTGGTTTTTTAGAGAGAGTGGAAGAGAGAGGGAAAAACAGAGAGAAATATTGATGTGAGAGAAACACATCAATTGCTTGCCTCCTGCACGAGCCCTGACCAGGGCCGGGGAGAAGCCTGCAACCGAGGTACATGCCCTTGATCAGAATCGAACCTGGGACCTTTGAGTCTGCAGGCTGACGTTCTATCCACGGAGCCAAACCGGCTAGGGCCCTACACACCCTTTGAGGTGTAGTTTAAATTCAATCTCCTCCACGAAGCCATTCCTAAGATTTCTGGCCCATGTCCATCACTTCTCTTACTCGTCAATGCATCCCCTAATTCTTTACTAGCTGCAGGTCCTCGCGGCCTCAACCTGCTTGCAACAGCATCTCAGGGACGATAATGAAAAAATTTCTGAACAACACTCACTGGTTTATAGGAACTTGGGGTAGGTGACCAGGACATGTATGGCTTAATGCCAAGGCCATTCTTTCATGGAAACATTTATAATGCAATGCAAAATTTTTTTCGATATTTCTATTCATACAAAAGCTTCTAACTCACTCTGTCTCTGTCTCTAACCAATCTATAACATGGATATAACTCTTTAGTGCAGCGGTTCTCAACCTGTGGGTCGCACCCCCTTTGGCGGTCGAATGACCCTTTCACAGGGGTCACCTAAGACCATCCTGCATATCAGATATTTACATTATGATTCATAACAGTAGCAACATTACAGTTATGAAGTAGCAACAAAAATAATTTTATGGTTGGGGGTCACCACAACATGAAGAACCGTATTTAAAGGGCCAGAAGGTTGAGAACCACTGCTTTAGTGGACTCCTTCCAAAGAGTCTTCAAGCCTTAAAAGAATCGATCACCTCCCCCTTACAAAGGCATTCACTACTCTATGACCACAGCCCTATTTCCCTCCACACCTCATCAATACTTTCTCATTGTGTAGCCTTTACTCCAATCCAAGATGACTTGTGGGCTATTTGCTTTCCTGTAACTTATAACCACTTCACAGAAGCAATGTTCCGCTCATATTTCCCCTGAAACTTTAATTTTTCTTAATTCATCCTTCATTGTGATGCAATGTTGAGGTCAAGACTGTCTAGAAACCCTTGGACTCTCTCATTCCCTGTACAACGTCGCTGTGACCAGGATATTTTCACATTCCTTAAAATAATTAGTCTTCTAAACTATTGTGCAGTGCCAGTTGAAGAATTTGTATCCCCAAAGTTCAGATAAGACCACTCAGGTTTCGGAAGGTAAATAGATTTCTCCACGAGCACATGGTAAGTGAGTTATTAAGCTACCCAGGGGTGATCTTGCCTCTTCTCCCACCCCACCAGACACTTGGAAATGTCTAGAGGCAGTTTTGGTTGTCTCAACTAGGGTGAGGGGTGGGAAGGACCAACCCAACCACTATCCAACATCACAACTTTGTGTGAGTTAGAAAAAAAAAGTCTCTTCCTCAAGATATTCTACTGCCTTCTGCTGGGCTACTGTCCTAACAACTCTGCAACTCTACAGTGAGTATGAGGTACATGGCACCTCCCCAGAGTTATGAAAGGCACAAATGCACAACTTCCACAACCATAAGTGGACGCTCCCTGTGGGACACTGGGAAAGGTACTTAATGCCTCTAACTCT